TATAAAAATTAACTTGAAATAGATCAGAGACTTAAGCATAAGACCTGATTCCATAAAACTGCTAGAAGAAAATAGGGAAGGAGTTCAACATTGGTCTAGGCAATAATTTTTTTGGACCTGACACCAAAAGCACAAATAACAAAAGAAAAAAAAAACATAAAAACTTGTGCACTGCAAAAAAATTAACAAAGTGAAAAGGTAACTTACAGAATGGGAGAAGGTAACTTAGAGAATGGGAGAAGGTATTTGCAAACCATGTACTATATAATGGGTTAATGAACAAAATTTATAAAGAACTCATACAACTCAATAACAAAGAAAGAAATCTATTAAAAAATGGACAGAGGACCTGAATAGACATTTTTCCAAAGACATACAAATGGCCATCAGACACACAGAAAGATACTCAACATCAATAATCCTCAGGGAAATGCAAATCAAAAACACAACATCCCTTTATACTTGTCAAAAGCCTAAACCCAGAAATACAAGAATTAAATGTTGGTGAGAATATGGAAAAAAGGGAAACCTTGTGCACTGTTGGTGGGAATGCAAATTGGTGCTGCCAGTTTGTGGAAAAAAGTATGTAGGTTCCTCAGAGAATTAAAAAATAGAGATACCATATGATCCAATAATTCCACTACTGGATATTTACCCAAAGAAAACAGAAACACTAATTCGAAAAGATATTTGCAAACCGTGCCCCTAGCTTGTTATTGCTAGCTGCATTATTTTTTCCTGAAATCCATCTACACCCCCAGTCCCCAGTGTTAAACTTCTGCTGCTGCTCCTCAGGAATGCACAACTTGAGGCATGACAGGACAGTGGTACCAGTGGTCCCATTCTTTCAATAAATATACCCAGCTGTAAAACACCCCCAATTACCAACACATTGTTCTGTTGTTTTCCACGATGCCTCAGGACATGAATCCTTTAAAAACTAAACCAATTAAATTATGGTGTCTTCAAAGGAACAGTTTGTGCGGTAGGTGTTTGAGGATACTATTTCCTTTAGTTTCCATGTTTTTGTCTCCCCTGTTGTCTTCAGGTTTCTCTAGAGACTCTCTCTTTAATAATCTGAGCCTTGTAGTTATTTAAGTTGAATTCTCCTGTTATATACAGGAGCCACGCTAATGTGGCAATAAGGTGAGGGGTTGGGGAAAAACTGTTCTTCAACTTATGATTAGGACTCAGTGGTTTAGTGGTCTGTGCTACTTGGTTATAACCTTCAGTGCTTTTCAGCTCACCCTCTCCTTGGGTGACACAAGAGGTATAAAGTAGGCTGGAAATAACCCACTTTGGTTATTCTCTGGTAAAATCCATGCTGGTTAAGTACTGGTAAAACAGATTTCCTTGAGGGCAGACCTTTGTTAAGGAGAACAGAAAGCTCTGAGCATATTTCAAAATGGTTAATTCCCTGCTCACCCCACCTTCCCCTCCAGAAAATGAGTGGATTTTTCAACAGTATTCAATTTGGGAACCCAGTGAGGTGCCAGGTGGTAGTGAAATTAATGAAAGTGTGGGGACCTTTGTAAGGCTGGGCCTTCAGGAGTTTTCTTCTCTCAAGCCAGTCTTTGCTCAGTCTCTGGGAATTATTCAATTACCCTTTAAGTATTCCTAGCAGTGTGGTAGTATGTACTGCCACGAGTAGTCAGGATCAGAAGAAACCCTTATGTTCCATGATGATGCAAATATAGTGGCTTTACCAACTTTAAATCTCATCTATTCAGTTTAATTCTTGGAAATATAATTTAAAATAAACAAAATATACTTTACAATCAATATCTTAAACATTCACATCCTTTTTTTAAAAAACCTAACTTGTATGATAAAGACATGGAAGTGTGAGTTTCATTTCTCAACATTAAACTAGTTCTAAGCATATTTACCAAGAAAGTAATATGCCAAATCCTTACAGAATATGTGGGATCCTTCACAATCTGAATCTAATTTCTCTTCTACACAACATCTTCCTAAATTGATTCCTTTGCTTCTATCTTCAGTAAAGACAACTAAAGGAGAAACCAAATAGCTCATCATTTCCTCAATTTGCCATACCCTTTATAACCATTGCGTCTCTGCAAATGTTTGTTACCTCTACTTTAATTCCCTAAATCCACACATACCTCTTCCACACTTTCTTTTTCACTGAGGAAATTTCCATTCACCCTTTAAAAACAATCTCAAATATCATGGAGCCATTAAAAAGCTACCCCCCCTACAGAGATTGAATCCTTGTGTTTCCAAAACAGTATGTCAAAAACTCTTTTAGAATCCTTGTAACAATAAAAAAGGAATATATATATATATATATATATATATATATATATATATATATGGTTTTGAAAATAAAGAAAATTTCAGATCACTGTCATTTAAATTAACATGATCTGAAAAGAATTTTTTTCAGATTTTGACATTTATATAAAATGTAAAATATAATGTAACTTATTTTTTAAAATCGTCTTTAGTAAAATCAGAAATATATTAAAGTTAAAGATGTGCATTTATCATTTTGCTTTTGTAAAAACTGATAATTATCTTCTCTGAAGATTTTAATTACATTTTTTCCTATCATTATTAATTTTTTAAAAGATTTTATTTCGTTACTTGCCAGAGAGAAAGGGAGAGAGAGAGTGAGTGCACACAATCAGGCAGAGCAGCAGGCAGAGGGAGAGGGAGAAGCAGTCTCCCCAGTGAGCAGGGAGCCTGATGGAGGACCTGATCCCAGGACCCTGGGATCATGACCTAAGCCGAAGACTGAGGCTTAATGGACTGAGCCAACCAGGGGCCCCTTATTGTTATTAATTTTATAATTAATTCTTATATATCCACTAATAGGCAGGGGCTATGTCTTGAATTGTTTTATATCCTCTGAACACACCAGGGTTCGAATTACATAGTTAAGCATTTAAAAGATGTGAGATGAAACATTAAGTGATACTTAGTTTTCTTTTATGGGCTTTACAGAGGTGTTATTTACACAGACAATGAAATATATCAATTTTAATGAACAATTCAAAGAGTTTTGACAAATGTATTGTTATGTTAACTACCAAGCACCAAAATCATCATATACTATTTGATCACCTCAAAATGTTCCCCTGGTGTCCCTCTGCAGTCAATTGTCTCCTCCCATTTTCAGTTCCTAGCAACCACTGGCCTACTGTCTCTGTAATTTGGGTTTTCCAGAATCTCATAGATACAGAAACAGAGTATGTGGTCTTTTGTGTCTGGCTTCTTACACTTAGCATAAAGTTTTGAGAGCAAGGTCATCTGTATAGCTTGATGTATTAACAGTTCTTTTTATTGCTTAACAGTATTCCACTGTGGAAATACACCATAGTTTGCTTATCCTTTCACCAACTAGTATTTGTAGGTTTGTTTTGTGTTGCTATAAATAATGTAGCTATGAACATCACTGTAAAAATCTCTTCCATTTAGGTTTTCGTTTCACCTGGGTAAGCATCCAGGTATAGAAAAGCTAAATTACATGGTAAATCTAGGTTTAACTTCAAAGAAACTGCCAGTCAAAGCTGGTATTCTAGTTTGCACTCCCACCAGGAATGTAGGAGATTTCAGGTGCTCTGCTTCTTGCCATCATATGGTACTGTCAATTTTTTTTAACTGGAGCTATTCTGTGGGTGAGCAGTAGTTCACTGTGGTTTAATTTGCATTTCACTGATGACTAGAACATCTTTTCATGTGCTCATTTGCCATCTGTATATGTCCTTTGGTGGAAATGTGTATTCAAATATTTTGCCTATCCTTTTTAATCAGACTGTCTTCTTATTACTGAGCTATGAAAGCTCTTTATATATTCTTCATAGGTCCTTTATCAAATATGTATTTTACAAAAGACTGTCTTGTTTTTCCATCGTCTTTAAAGTACCTTTTGAAGAGCAAAAGTATTTAACTGTCTGATGGCCATTTCATTTTTTGTATTTTACAGCTCATATGTTTTTGTGACCTACCTAGGAAATCTATCTTTACTTTTTAAACAAAGCTGTGACTATTTTCTACAATAACTGCTTCTGTCACTTATCATATTTCTAATAAAGTGTTATTAAAGTGACTAATTACAAAAATCTATTAGATAAAAATCTGATAGTGAAAAATCAGGACCAAATCTTTTAAAAGGAAGTATCTTAGAGAAACACATTAATAATAATGTACTTCTTTTGTATTTGTCCTGCTAAAGAAAATCATTCCATTTATTTTAAAAAACCAGAGCTAGTCATATGACATACGACTGATGTGATTTTTATGATTTTCAATTTATCCCCTAAAGGAAAGTGGCAGATGCTACTTTTCCTTTTTCCTCACTCTGGGATACAAAAGTAACAGTAGATGAGTCATCCTGGAGAATGAGGACAACATGCTAAGGATACTACAGCAGTAAAACTGAAGAGAGATGAGTTTTAAACCCCAGGAGCCACCATATTTTCCTAGCACCAATTTAAAACACTGTGATTGTGGATCATAGATGCAGCAACAATGCCCATGTTCCAACTAATAAACTAGCACCCCACTGAAAGCAGTTAGATGGAATACTGATTTAAAGCAATCAACATGGTGTAAGACACAGAGTAAACATGATAGTATTAGCTATTATACTATAGTACAAATTCAGAGACTCTCTTAAGAGAAAAATTCATGAAATAGTATTCTCTACGAATACTGCACTGTCTGGATTATGCATACTTTAAAATAAATAATTAAATTATTTTGGTATTCTCTAGTACATCTGAAGTGGGGTAAGTTGTATGACAACGTTAATATAGTTTAACAACCACTTTCTTTCTTCTCCTTTTTTAAGTTTTATTTAAGTAATCTCTATATCCCATGTGGGACTTGAACTCAAGACTTTGACCAAGATCAAGAACGCCACACTCCTCTGATTGAACCAGCTAGGCACCCCAACAATCACCTTCTTTAATATGGATTATTATACTTGGTAATAAAATGTTAAAAGCATAAGTATTGATGGAAGTTCTTACCATAGAAAGATATTCATTCGTACCCTGTTCTTATAAATCAGAATTCCTCCTGACATCACTCCAATCATAATTTCATTGTTACTTTGATCCTTCAAAAAAAGAAAATGACAAATCTAAAATACTGGGCTTTTGTTAAAAAAAAAAAAAAAATATATATATATATATATATATATTTTAAAAATAGGGTAAGTTTTTCTAACACAATATAACATTTTCAAAGTCAGCACATAATTGCACAATATTTATAAACCCATAAGGTAATTGTTACCTCATAAAAACAAAGAATCTATTTCACATCAAACTTAAATGTTGCATTATTAAAATTTATTAATCCAAAGTAAAAATGATCTTGGGATTTTCCATATCTTAAAATTGCAACTGAGTTTTGAGATAAGGAATCGAAAGCCTTTTCATCTTGTAGAATGAAGGGCTAATATACATTTTTCCATTTTCAAAACTATTCTGACTGTATTTACTATGTAAATATAGTGCCAGGACTGCAAAAGTGAAAAAAACATGGAGAAGTTCAGAGTTTGGTAGAATGTAACCTGTAATAAAACAAGATTCCCAATATAATGATAAAGCATATAACTAATATAATACAACAAAAACATCATGGCAGTATATATAGTAGGGAACAACTATTGGAGAGTTTGAAACAGATTCCAGAAAAGAAAATTTGAACTATGCTTTGAGGAAAGAGAGTTTTCATGATAACTGATCCAACATGAATAGCTAACCTGCACTACTAAAAAAAATGAGTAGAATTAAATTCTCTTCTCAGATGCTAACCAACTTTGAAATAGTTTTGCTACTGGCTAAAAGATTCTACAGGTAAGCTAATACAGCAATAATGCTTTTACCCCCTACCTATTCATATGCTTAGAAGAGAGAACTACTTGATGACCTTATAATTAAGATTTTTATAATTGTGTCCCTCAGGAAAAAATCCTCTAAAATGTAGTTTCAATAATTTCTACTTAAATAATTTTTTAAGGAACACCAATTAGAAGTTTGGGCCAAAATGGCAGGCTTAATATATGCTCCTATTGCTTCTTCTGCTCCAATCTCATAAGACATGGGAGAAGATACATGACAAAAACCTGTAACACTTGAAGGTATATAATCAATGGACCAGACATTTTGAGGAATTTGTAAAGACATAAAGAGGATAAAATCAGATTTAAGCAAAGAAAAAATTATAGAAGACCACAGCCTAAAGTATACATAGAAGAGAAAGTTCTATTTGGACGCAGAAAATATAGTCAACAGATACAATTTCACAGACAACAAATAAACAAAATAAAGGGAGCCCTCAAATTACTGTTAGGATGATCAGGCAGAGAGCAGCTAAGGTAATTAACTCCTACCAACCCTATAATCCTGCCCTGTCTGGATTGACCTATGGAACACAAAAGTAGGTGCAGCCTAGAACAGTGAATGTAGAAACTGGGGACAGAAATGAGAGCTATCCTCAAAATTAATAAAGAACTCCAAAGTGAGATAGGCAAACTATAGGTATGTTCATTCTGGCAAAAATTCCTCCCCTCTTCCACAATCACCTAAGGCAGGCCACAGCAAAGACAACCTATACAACATCCAAGCAAGTGAACTAGGAATCACAAATACAAAAGGAAGTATGCAACCAAGGATCACTAAGCACCTGAGAAGAACCAATACCATTAAAGAGATATGCAAAACTCAAGCTGCTATCCTGGTAGAAAAATGTTAGAGGGTTCCCCTTTCTTCACATCCTCTCCAACCTTTGTTGTTTACTGTCCTGTTCATTTTGGCCATTCTAACTGGTGTAAGGTGGTATCTCAATGTAGTTTTGATTTGAATCTCCCTGATGGCTAGTAATGATGAACATTTTTTCATATGTCTGTTAGCCATTTGCATGTCTTCTTTGGAGAAGTGCCTGTTCATGTCTTCTGCCCATTTTTTGACATGATTATCTGTTTTATGTGTGTTGACTTTGAGGAGTTCTTTATAGATCCTGGATATCAGCCCTTTGTCTGTATTGTCATTTGCAAATATCTTCTCCCATTCCGTGGGTGGCCTCTTTGTTTTGTTGACTGTTTCCTTTACTTTACACTTAAACTACTTTAAACTCTGAACTTATTCCCAGGTATACTGTGCAGAAAGTTTTGATTTTGATGAAGTCCCAAAAGCTCATTTTCACTTTTGTTTCCTTTGCCTTTGGGGACATGTCTGGAAAGAAGTTGCTGTGGCTGATGTCAAAGAGGTTACTGAGTATGCTCTCCTCTAGGATTCTGATGGATTCCTGCCTCACGTTGAGGTCCTTTATCCATTTTATCTTTGTGTATGGTGTAAGAGAATGGTTGAGTTTCATTCTTCTATACATAGCTGTCCAATTTTCCCAGCACCATTTATTGAAGAGACTGTTTTCTACTGTAATTTTTTCCTGCTCTGTCAATGATTATTTGACTATAGAGTTGAGGGTCCACATGTGGGCTCTACAGTCTGTTACACTAGTCTATGTGTCTGTTTTTGTGCCAGTACCATGCTGTTTTGGTGATCACAGCTTTGTAGTAAAGCTTGAAATCAGGCAATGTGATGTCCCCAGTTTTGTTTTTCTTTTTCAACATTTCCTTGGCAATTTGGGGTCTCCTCTGGTTCCATACAAATTTTAGGACTGTTTGTTCCAGCTCTTTGAAAAATACCAGTGGAATTTTGATCAGGATGGCATTGAAAGTATAGATTGCTCTAGGCAGTATAGACATTTTAACAATGTTTATTCTTCCAATCCATGAGCATGGAACACTCTTCCATCTTTTTGTGTCTTCAATTTCTTTCATGAGTGTTCAGTAGTTCCTAGAGTACAGATCCTCTACCTTTTTGGTTAGGTTTATTCCCAGGTATCTTGTGGTTCTTTGTGCTATAGTAAATGGAATTGATTCTCTAATTTCTTTTTCTATATTTTCATTGATAGTGTATAAGAAAGCAACTGATTTCTGTACATTGTGTATCCTGCCACATTACTGTGTTGCTGTATGAGTTCTAGTAGTTTGGGGGTGGAGTTTTTTGGGTTTTCCATATAAAGTGTCATGTCATCTGCGAAGAGAGAGAGTTTAACTTCCTCTTTGCCAATTTGAATATCTTTTATTTCTTTTTGTTGTCTGATTGCTGTTGCTAGCACTTCTAGTACTATGTTGAACAACAGTGGCAAGAGTAGACATCCTTGTCGTGTTCCTGATCTCAAAGGGAAGGCTGTCAGGTTTCCCCATTGAGGATGATATTCGCTGTGTGTTTTTCATAGACCAATTTTATGAAGTTGAGGAATGTTCCCTCTATCCCTATACTTCAAAAGGTTTTGATCAGGAACGGATGCTGTATCTTTTTTTTTTTTTAAGATTTTATTTATTTATTTGACAGAGAGAAAGAGGGATCACAAGTAGGCAGAGAGGCAGGCAGAGAGAAAGGGGGAACCCGACTCCCCGCTGAGCAGAGAGCCCAATGTGGGTCTCAATCCCAGGACCCTGAGATCATGACCTGAGCCAAAGGCAGAGGCTTAACCCACTGAGCCACCCAGGCGACCAAACGGATGCGGTAACTTGTCAAATGTTTTTTCTGCATCAATTCAGAGGACCATGGGGCTCTTCTCTCTTCTCCTACTGATTTGTTCTATCACACTGATTGATTTGCGAATGCTAAACCACCCCTGCATCCCATGGATAAATCCCACCTGGTCATGGTGGATAATCTTTTTAATGTACTGTTGGATCCTATTAGCTAGGATCTTGTTGAGAATCTTGGCATCCATATTCATCAGGGATATTGGTCTGAAATTCTTTGTGGTGGGGTCTTTGCCTGGTTTGGGGATCAGAGTAATGATGGCTTCATAAAGAGTCTAGAAGTTTTGCTTCTGTTTCTATTTTTTTAAACAGCTTCAGGAGAATAGGTATTTTTTCTTCTTTGAATGTGTGACAGAATTGTCCAGGGAATCCATCACGTCCTGGGCTCTTGTTTTTGGGGAGGTTTATGATCACTTCTTCAATGTAGTTACTAGATATTGGTCTATTCAGGTTGTCAATTTCTTCCTGATTCAGTTTTAGAAGTTTCCAGGTTTCCAGGAATGCATCCATTTCGTCTAGGTTGCTTAACTTATTGGCATATAACTGTTGATAATAATTTCTGATGACTGTTTCTATTTCCTTGGTGTTAGTCATGATCTCTCCCTTTTCATTCATAATTTTATTAATTTGGGTCCTTTCTCTTTTCTTTTGGATTAGTTTGGCCAGGAGTTTATCAATCTTACTGATTGTTTCAAAAAATCAGCTTCTAGTTTCATCAATGTGTTCTACTGTATCTCTACTTTCTATCTCATTGATCTCTGCTCTAATCTTGATTATTTCCCTTCTTGTGTAGGGTTGGCTTAATTTGTTGTTGATTCTAGTTCTTTAAGGTATAAAGAGAGTTGGTGTATTCTGGATTTTTCAATTTTCTTTGAGGGAGGCTTGGATGGCTACGTATTTCCCCCTTAGGACCGCATTTGCCATATCCCACAGGTTTTGTACTGATGTGTCTTCATTCTCATTGGTTTCCATGAATCGTTTTAAGTTCTTGATTTCCTGGTTGATCCAAACATTCTTAAGCAGGGTGGTCTTTAGCTTCCAAGTGTTTGAATTCCTTCCATACTTTTTACTGTGGTTGAGTTCCAGTTTCAAAGCATTGTGGTCTGAGAATATGCAGGGAATAATCTCAATCTTACACTGTTGGTGGGAATGCAGGTTGGTGCAGCCACTTTGGAAAACAGTGTGTAGATTCCTTAAGAAATTAAAAATAGAGCTACCCTATGACCTTGCAATTGTACTACCAGGTATTTACCCCAAAGATACAGATGTAGTGAAAAGGGCCATCTGTACCCCAATGTTCGTAGCAGCAATGGCCACAGTCACCAAACTGTGGAAAGAACCAAGATGCCCTTCAACAGACAAATGGATAAAGAAAATGTGGTCCATATATACTATGGATTATTATGCCTCCATCAGAAAGGATGAATACCCAACTTTTGTATCAATATGGATGGGACTGGAGGAGATTATGCTGAGTGAAATAAGTCAAGGAG